CACAACACTGACTTCCATACCAAAATCCTACCCTGAGATCTAACCCAGGACCTGACCCATCACTTCCGATCCTGAAATATTTTTTTAAAAAAAAATTGACGGGGTGGAGGGGGGCAGAGGGGGTGGCTGGGGTAGGAGTGACGTAAAAAATGAAACTTTAAAAATTTGAAATATTTTTCAAAAATAACTTTTTTTTAAAATAAAAAACTTTTGATGGGGTGAGATTTTTTTTAAATTTGAAATATTTCTCCAAAACATTTTTTTGTGGGGGTAGGGGTGGTAGGGGTTGGGTGAGGTAAAAATAATCTTTTTTTTTTGTTTGGGGGAGGGGGCGCTGGTTTGGAGTAGGGGGTTGGGGCTAGGGGTAAACAAATATTTGTAATTTAAAAAATAAGAAAATTTAATAAATTTAATTTTTTTTTGAATGGGAAGAGTTAGGTATAGGGTACGAGGTAGAGTAAGAAAAAAAATTATAATTTAAGGATGAAATAGAGTTTTGGAAAATGTTTTCCTTAATTTTTTAAGGGAAGTCATTTTTTTTAAATTTGAGAAAAACAAGTTGATTTAGAAAACATTTTCCAAAACATTTAAGCCAACCAAACATGAAAAATTTGAAAAACATTTTTCTCATACCAAACACACCTTAGTCTCAAAAGACCTTTGATATCAATACAAATTTAACTAAACATAGGACACGATAAAAGAAAAAGATCCATAAAAATGACAGCTATGCGACATGATTGGTCAGTCTCAAAATCTATAGCCCAAAGGCATGCCACGATCCTCCAAGTAGATGGTATGAGTTGGCCTAGACATAGCTTGAAGGTCTGGTAGACAAAATGATCATCATCTATTGTGGGATGGTTGAATTTGGGGGTGAACGGGTAAGTGCATATAAACAAGTAATTGGATTTCGAGAAATTGATACCTTAGAAATTTCTAGGGCATTCACTCAAACTTATTTACAAAATCGAGAAGTTGCCCAAATATGATGAAGAATGGGTAAGTGTATATAATCGCTAGACGCTTTATCACAGTCTCTAACATGACATCATAATCAGACTTTAAAACCGTCCTTGAAACAAAGGCTCTAGGGACAATGATATTGACACTGGGTTCAGAAGATTTGTCATTTCTCTTTTTACCTTTCTTTGGGCAACCATGAGAGGGGGATATCTGACAAAACATGGAAGAAGGTGAAGACATGATGAATCAAGTTTGGAGGAAGAAAATATAATAATGTATGAAGTTCAAGAGATGTAGAGATTAAAGGTTCTAGAATGAATGAAGAAAGAATTCAAGAGAAATGAAGAGAGTTTGGAGAAATTGTGAACGGATGAATCGTGAAACATTGGAATGAAACGAAAGTCGCAATTTATATGCAAAAAGAGATAAGTCATGATTGCCTTGAATAATGAGCCATTTTTTATCCAATAATAATTCCATATGTGGATGGTACATTTAATGTGGAGGGGTCAGACCATCTCCAACTCATCTCTATTTTACTCTCCATTCTCTATATTTGGAGAGTAAAATAGAGAATGGGTTCTCCAACCACTCTCTATTTCACTCTCTATTCTTCAATTATAGAGAGGTGAATAGTAGTTCTCCAAATTTGGAGAACTACTATTCACCTCTCTATTTTACTTTTTGATTATTATAATATTATTTATATTATATTACTATCATTTGTAATTATTTTCTAATGTAACATAACATTTAAAAATATATTATCAACAAGTTATTACTTCTGCCCAAATTAATAATTTTTCTATTTTATTTTTTAAAAGAAATGGTCACTTTAAATATGTAATTTAAAGTTATTTTAATATTATTTATATTAATTATGTCTCTAATATTTGTAATTATTTTCTAAGTAATATAACATCTAAAACATTATTGATAAGTATACTACTTCCATCCCGAATTAACAATTTTTCTAATTTAATTTTTAATATTTTTTTTTGTCATTTAAATATGTAATTTAGATTATAATTATTTTTCATTATGAAGTATGCACAAAAATTACATGATAATTCAAACAATCTACTTTTATGTTATAATGATAAATTATTAAACTACACTTTTTAAAGAGCATACAAATATTTGATGCAATAGTCCAAAATGGAATAGGGGAAGTAAATTAATACACGAAATAATTGGACACAAGATGAAATTGTTAATTTAAATAATTTTTAGCTACACATAAAAAATAAGGACAAAAAATGCTTATTTTGAACTCCGTAATACATTAATAGAACATTCATGAGTAGGGGTGTGCAAAAATCGAACCAATCGATAAAAGTGTTATTGGTTTATTGTTATTGGGTTATTGGGTTAACGGTTTTTTAATGGTTTTATAAAAAAATTTATTGGGCTATCGGTTCGGTATTGATTTTTAATATTGAGTTATTGGGTAAATCGATAACCCATTAAGACTAGTAATTTACTACTTTTACTTGTACATAAATATTATATATTAATCTTAATACCTTATTAGTTACTATCTTTGTCCTTTAGCCTTCAATTCACACTTTACAATGACTTTGAGTTCACAATTTCACATTATAAAAAACGTTAAAATCTAAAGTAAGAACCATATGCCTCTTAATTTCTCTTTGTGTTACGCTTGTATAGTTCTTTTCATCTTTGTTATTATTGTTTCTATTTTATGAGTATTTGTAAAGTTACATTATTGTGTTTTCGCATCAAATTTATTAGAAAAGTCATATATTTGTTTTATAAATATTTTCTTATTGGTTAAACCAAAAACCGAACCGTTAAGGACCAAAACCGATTAAAAAATATATTATGATTTGGTTATTGGTTTAACATATTTAAAAACCAAAAACCGATAAACCGAACTGATAATACATAAAACTGAACCGAACCGAACCAACCGATGCACACCCCTATTCATGAGAGTAACCTAATAGTCTTAAAAGTTGAGTATTTATGTAAAATTTAAAATAAATTTTATGATAATACAATATTTATGATGCAATTATATTTCATCAATGAATTCATTTTTATTTGAATTGTTCGTTAATATGTATTATATATAATATTTATTGCAATTTATGTTATTTAGAAATTTAGAATAAAATATAATTTTATATTAATGAAGAATTTGAAAATAAAATAAAATTTTGTATTACGTAAAGATTACAGAGTGATTATTTGCAAAAAGAAGAAATGATTTATATTATGAAATAAGAAAATAAGAATGAAATATAAATAATAATATAATATTGAAGAGAGAGAAAAAGATTCCTTTTTAGAAGAGAATTGAGTTGGAGTTGATTGTCTGAAAAAATAGAGAACTCTATATTTGGAGAGTAAAATAGAGGATTGGGTTGGAGATGCCCTCAACGTCTTTTGCATTATTGAAGGTATTCTTAGGATGGACTTCTCATTCCGCTTTTCAAACATGCACGACATCATGTTCGAGAACGATGAACTATGTATTGGGAAAAAAATAACTTGTACCCGTGGAAGAATAAATACAAATATGAACACACAGGATTAACATAGGATGCTCAAGAATATTAGTTCGGTAAAGTGACCTAGTCTCAAAGATGAGTTCAGAAAAGATTAGTCTCTGAAATCACTATATAATCATCATCATAAAAAAAGGCGAAAACTCGTATCCCGATGATAAGAAATGACTCGTGTCCCAATGACATGACAAAAAAGGATAAAAATGACGTATATGTTAGATATGATTGTACAATATTGTGACCACAACAGAGAAATATTAGCTGACACTACTAACGACATTTCAACATGGACAACAATCATTGGTTGTAGTACTTTAGGGCTCGAGTGGAGTTTTTCTATTTGTAGACGAATTACATTTATAACATATAGATAGTAGTTTTAATATGATTGTAAGGGTATGAGATTCTAAACATCACAATTACAAGATACTATTATTCTTGTGCTATAAGTTTTTCATATTTCATTAAGTCTTTGCTTCATAATATTTATTTACATAAATTGATCTCAGATCTATGACCAATATCACTCTATCATAACTGGATTAAGTACAAACACTTGTGTCTCCAAAGCTCTATCACTTCATACGACTTTATTTACTTACTTATTTTCATTTATTTCTTTAACAAACATATATTTAATCACTAATAACCAAATCTAACGAGTTAAATCAATCCACGTGTTCTTGACCTCACTACAAATTTAATTGTATTGTTTTCTAGTAAACATGAATACGTTGTTGTATAGACATATATTATCAAATATTAACATTTATTTTGATAATTTAAAAGATCTAATAGTGTATTTACACTTTATCAATCAAATTAAATTTGTAATTTTGTTATAATTATATTGTGACAAACAAAAATATAATATAAATATCATCCAAATAATTACGCCAAATTCAATTTAGAGGTGACTTTCCTACCGAACTTATATATAAAAAATGAATATCTTCGATCATAGTAGATAGTTTATTTTGAGCGATCATCGTTGATTCACTTGTAAAGAACATGGGGTCCACAATGTAGCTGATTGGCCCTTATGGCTGTCAACTTGTGACCTCAAACCATACAAGTCCACGTAATAACACAAGAGACGCGCCAAAAGAAATACTCCATCCGTTCACTTTTACTTATTGCAGTTTGACTTGATACGTCATTAAAAAAAGAATTATTGTATGTGTATTTTATTAAATTATTCCCTATTAAATGATGTCTTAGAAAATGAATTGAAAAATAAATTTTAATTATCAGGTAAAACATGAAAAAATATTATTGTCTATTTTTTTTGATAGGTCTAAAATGACAAGTAAAAATAAAAATTTATTTTAAGAACAAGTGATAAGTAAAAATGAACAGAAAGGAAATAATGTTAATTTATTCCATTTTTAACCTTAATTAATGGACCAGTAAAAGCACTTTTCAGGTTAATCAACAATGGTTAATGAATAATCCCTTCATTAGCCATATGTGTACATACAAACAAATAAGTAGAGTTCCCTTCATTGATGCCGCTTATTTCTTTACAAAAATGTCTCTCTCCGTCGCCGCAGATTTAGAACTTCCGGCGTACGCCACTCTCTCTCTCACTTCCCTGAATTTTCTCATTGATCTGTTAAATTCATGTATTTGTAGTTGATTATTAAAACTCTGGTTCATTTCTCCGGCTTGTATGTGACTTTTTCCATTTATTGGTTATAATAATTTGATTGTTGAATTTCGATCGCATAGTTAAATTATACTTCTTTGATGCTTTCATTTTTCTTATCGGTCTGTTAGTTTAGGTTTTATCTTTAAATTTTTTGATATGTTGCTGGAACTTTAATTTTCAGATCGATTGATTGATGATCGGGAGAAGAATTGATGAAGGGCAAGACAAATTTGTCAGATTGTTTTACTGTTAATATATATATTTTTTCATTTTTCAAGCGTTTTTTGTGTGCATATACTGTAGAGGGATTGTGTAGTTGAGAAGTATGTATATTATTTTTTTGTCTATATTAGTGTGAAATACATCATAAATCAGTAGAAAAAAAAAAGGAGATAGAAGGATCTCAGTGGAAGTAGGGTAGTAGGAAGGCCAATTTTGCTATTTTGTTTGATAAGGTGGTAGTTGTTGTTGGTGTGAAAAATCTGTAGTTGGTATTTCAGTTTAGTCCAGTGAACAAGTTAATGGAATCTTGTTAGTTTGCCGTAGGGACTGTAGGGGAGTTATTGCATGTTCATGTACTGGTGACGTCTGAATGGTTTATTGAACTGCCAAGATACGGGGTATATGCAGCTAGATTCATCCAAAGGTTTAGCTCAAACTATGATCACTGGGGTGCCTGACCCTTCTGGTCAATGGATCCAGCAAGAATCATCTCAGCCAGTTATCTTGAGTGATGGCATATCTTTACACAATAATGTAAATAACCGTGTACCTGTTCAGACTGGTGAGGTCTTTTCTATGGAATTTCTTCAGGATCCTTCTTCAAGAATAATTCCTACTCTGTCTGGGTTTACTGAAAAGCATGATAAGAGAGCTTTACCTCAAAGTAAGCAAAGTCAATATCCGGGTTATGAAGATCTCACAAGACTTCTTGGGTTGACTAGAATGGATTCTGAATGTGCTTCTGACATAACTGAATATGCTTCTGCAAGAGGGTCTAGTACCGAAATTGAAAATGGTATTTATGTAGAGAATGAGCTTACATTTAATCAGAAAGTTGGATCTTGTGGGCATGTCCATGGGGGAGCTACTACAGATTTATTCTATAATCAAGCTACTTCAGGGTCAAGTGCTCCGCTTTTAACTAAATCTGAATCTTCACTGTCATTAAAATCTTCTGGATTAGGAACTTCAGACTGTTCTCAGACAGGAAAAATAAAATTCCTGTGCAGTTTTGGTGGTAGAATACTGCCTCGACCTAGTGATGGAAAACTCAGATATGTTGGTGGAGATACACGTATCATTTCCATAGAGAAGAGTATTTCATGGGATGAACTTATGAAGAAAACATTAGCCATCTGTAACCAGCCTCACACTTTCAAATACCAGCTTCCAGGAGAGGATCTTGACGCTCTTATATCCGTCTCTTCTGATGAAGATCTTCAGAATATGATAGAGGAATATTATGGACTCGAGAAGCTTGGGGGTTCCCAAAGGCTCCGAATATTTTTGGTTCCCTTGACTGAATCTGAAAACTCATACCCTGAAGATGCTTCTACTGTTCAACCGAGTGACCCTGATTATCAATATGTTGTTGCTGTTAATGGCATTGTTCAAGTGGATTCTTCTGCTAAGGAGAATTATTATGAGCAGTGTGTGCGAGATGAAGCCAGCAAGGTGATACCTAAAGTGGACTGCAGTAATGGTATTTATGTCCCACCTCCTTCTCAATTGGTTGGTGAATCTCAGAGTCAGGTTAAGTCTCCCAATCAATCTACTTCTCTTTCTCCTGTGTTTATTCAACAGGGAGATTGCAAGAACGACTCAAGGAATGCATACACAAACAAGTTGCCACATGGTAATGACGCATGTCCAGTGTCGGTTAGCAGCACCCAATCATTACCTGAAAACCCGAATGGATGTACTAATATTGGTTATTATGCCCCGCAAATGAACCTGATAAATTTGCAGAGTCCAAACAAAAAAGATGATATCCCTCAGCCAAGCCAATCGAGTGAATTGCTTTCACATCACTATGGTCTCAGCAGAGACTTTGTTGCTCCAACATCAGAACAATCTGATGGAAGCTGTCAACAGTACTCCTTTGAAAGAACAGAACCCAAGGAAAGGACTGTTCACTCTGAAAAGCGGAATGATGAAATGGATGTATTACTGGGATACACTTCCACTGTTACTCTAAATGGAATTCCCCATGCCTTTTCGGATTCAAAACTTCAGGAACATGGAAAAAGATCAGCTTACTGCTCACAAGAGGGAATAAGCTCATTTTCCTCTTTGAACTTTTTACCAGCTCAGTTATCTTCACACGGTGTGTCTGCTGCTCTGCAAGAAAACCTAGGGTCTCTGCATCAGAATACATACCCAGTCAGTTCTCAGCATCATATTAGGGTACTTAATGGGGAATCAACTGTGGCCACTGACTTGATGGATTTTCCAAAGTTGCCTTTTGACTCAAATTCAGTGAGTAAATGTGGGCCCGTGCAAATAAATATTAATGGAACAGACACTAGATGCAACGGAGCTAAAGCAAAGTTGGAAAATTACCATCCTGGTTCGAAAAACTTTATGGAGAAAAATTTAAATTGTGAGATGGTGAATGCATGTGATACCAATAATGCACTTCTCTATCATGAGGGTAAATTTCCTGATAACAAGTCATCCAAAACAGCTGTGGGTTCAGAGAAAAAACTACCTGATGTTAACTCTGCTATGATGTCTAATAATGGAGGTGATATACCTGGTGAAGAAACACAATTTTTTGACATGAACATCCTTGCATCAACACCTTTAATTAATACAGTAAATGAGCGGTCCCAAAGAAATCAATTTGAGTATGCCTCAGGGGGGATAAAAAAGGCTGAACCTGAGAACAATACATCCTGGGTGAAGAGTTCTGAAGTTGCTGGGAGGATTTCTAATTCTGAAACACAGTCTCATGGTGCAGAAACTCTGAGTGATCTACTCCCTGAGTTGTCTGATGGCCTGATTTCCCACCATTCCCCCATGCCAGCAGTTGCTGCATGTCCTCAAGATACTTTTGCCAAAGAACCCTTGCTAATATTCTCTGAGGAATTGTCACCATCATCAGTTGTTGATGATGGAGGCCAGTTGGTGTCCTTGCATTACTCAGCTTTCAGGCAAAACCCAACCAAGGATGCTGTTTTTAGGAGAGAAGTTTCTCTAATTGATGAAGAATTTACTAGTTACAGTGACCAGAAAGTTGTGACTTCTGGTGTTGGTGAATTTTCTAGTGAAAAGCAAAAGATAGAAGATGCTCCAGTTAGTAGGAGTATCAAGGAAAGTCAGCAGGTTCTGAAAGCAAATGGAAGAGATGTTAGATCACCCAGTGGTGACTTATATGCTGCAAGTCTCCTAGATTTGGATACCATCGGTGGTGAAGTCATATCTCCTAGTGCAGCAGAAGGGGCGGCATTTGCTCCTGACTTGGGGTTGGAGGTGAATTTCTATTTCACTTTGATGGGTTGGTGTATGATTTAGGTTACTAAAAGCTCTCTTATGCTCATATAGTTTTTCGTTGTTTATCTGGCTTGGCGCAGGATGCCAACCCCCCCGACGGAGATAAGGATAATTTAATTTCTGATGCTATGATAGCTGAACTGGAAGCTGATTTGTATGGCTTGCAGGTAAAGGATCATTTCCTTTTGTATTCTAAACCTTGTTGGAAGTGCTCATCATAATATTTCATTTCTCCCCTTTTCAACTATAACGTCTTACACTCTAATCTTGGGTATGAGTCTGAAAGACTTAAAAGGTCATTGCCTTCTTACAAGTACTGTACCAGCAGAACGCTTCTAATATATCCTAAGGAGAACTCAAATGTACAAGGCTTTGTCCTTCACTATATACCCCCCTCCTCCTGCAATACCTTGATCCTCTTATCATAGGGTGTGTTACATGACAAATATCTTTGATTTATTTTCATCGTTAAAGATTGTGGTTCAGTTCTTGGAAATAATAATGGTCTGCTATTTCTAGTCCTGGAATGTGCCTCAAAGGTTATGTAATGGTTTTATTGCTTATCAACTATGTTTCTCTACTGGTTGACAACAACATACCTAGTGTAATCCCACAAATGGGCCTTGGGGAGGGTGGCGTGTACGCAAACCTTATCCTTACCTTGTGAAGGTAGAGAGGTTGTTTCCTATAGACCCTCGACTTGAGTAAAGCATTTCAAAATAGGTTTGAAAAGGAAATACAATAGTAATGAAGCCATGTCGAAAAAAATGGAGAAAAAAACAGTAGCAACAACAAATAATATGAAAATCATAGCAAAAGATATAACATATAATAATAAAAATCGAAGAATAAGATAATAGAAGAGCTATAATAATAATACTGATAAGGAGAACTAGACAACACTGGACTACCTACTAACCTTCTACCCTAATCTACGGCCTCCATATCCTTCTATCTAGGGTCATGCCTTCGGTAAGCTGCAGGTGTGTCATGTCTTGTTTAATCATCTCTCGTCAATACTTCTTCGGCCTCTACTTCTCCCTAGACCCACCATAATCACCCTCTCACATCTACTTAATTGGACATCTGTTCATCTCCACTTCACATGACCAAACCATCCCAACCTCACCTCCTCATTTTGTCCACCACGAAGGCCTCTCCCACATTGTCTCAAATATCTTTTTTCCTAATCGTTCCCTCCTAATATGCCCACACATCCATCTCAGCATCCTCATTTCCTCTACTTTCAAGTTTCATCTTCTGGATGTGTGAGTTTTTAACCGGACAATCCTCTTTCCCGTACAACATAGCTAGTCTAACAACCACTCTATAATACTTACCTTTAAGTTTTGGTGACACATTCTTTTCAACAAGACACCAAATGCGATCCTCCATTTCATCCACCCGTTTCAATACAATGTGTAACATCATGAGTGGACAGTGTTCTGAGTCTCCATCCACTGTCCTCACCCGAGTCTTGGCTGCATCATACATATACCTTAATCGCCTTAATATATGCTACAGGTACTCCTTTAGCTTTCAAACATCTCCATAGAATTCCTTCCCCCCCCTCTTGTGGAAAGTTAATTTTGTAACTTATCTTGTTTTACCCTTCTTTCTTCATTTTAAGAGAAGATGCTAACTTATATCTTTTTTCTTAGAGTTTAAAGATGCTTGCTTTCTTTAACAACAACAACAAAATTTACCTCAATCCCGGACAAGTTTGCTTTTTTTTTTTTTTGATTAACAACCAACTTTATTAATCAAAAGTAATCGTTACAAAATCAAGTAGATGCAGACCAACTACCTCTAAAATAACAAACTCTGAAATAAAATCCTCCTACAAACTATTGCAGGAAGCAGCCTATACATTCCTAAGGAAAACAATTTAACTGAGCTAATGAATCACGCCATCCAATATTGTTCCTCCCTTGAATGTGTATATGCATTACTATCTCCCGGCATGTTTGTGTTATATGCACCCGCACCCTTCCATTTTGAAATCTCCTGATGTTCCTATCCCTCCAAATGCAGTAAACTACCATTGCAAAAGTGCAGCAAATGATCTCAGCCATTCCATTTCTCTGCTTTATTTTAAGAGTTCCTTAATTCATTCTTAAGCAGTAGCTACAACTGATGTTACATTGCAGATCATAAAAAATGCTGACCTTGAAGAATTGAGGGAGTTGGGCTCTGGGACGTATGGTACTGTTTATCATGGAAAATGGAGAGGAACAGATGTTGCTATAAAGAGAATTAAGCGGGCATGTTTTTCTGGGAGATCATCACAGGAAGAAAGGCTGGTGTGTTTCCTTTAACATATTTCCCAAGCATATCATTTCTTCCTGGATTATCAGCAGTGTTTATGATCCTTATTGTGAAATTCATAATAAAACTGTCCTTTTTCCAGATCAAGGACTTCTGGAGAGAGGCACAGATCCTTTCAAACCTTCATCATCCTAACGTGCTTGCATTTTATGGAGTGGTACCTGATGGGGCTGGGGGAACTTTGGCAACTGTGACTGAATTCATGACTAATGGATCACTTCGAAACGTTCTTATTAAAAAGGACAGGTGACATTGCTTTTGCTATGTTAATTAGTTCTACATGCTTCTCTCATTCATAACTTAATGGGATTTGCTAAATTCCTTGTGCAGGTCACTTGATAGTTATAAGAAACTTCTTATTGCCATGGATGCAGCTTTTGGGATGGAGTATTTGCACTCGAAAAACATTGTCCACTTTGATCTGAAATGTGACAATTTGTTAGTCAGTCTGAGGGATCCACAACGGCCCATATGCAAGGTATCTTTTTTCCAATTACGGCAAGGATATATGCACTCTTGAGTGTACAAGAATAAATCTGTTAGGAACCCAGACTCTCCTAACAACAAATCTGTAAACTTTCAAATGCAATACAGATATAGGAACAACACTTCAACTGTAATTTACTAACACCAACAAATAGAATAAGTCTTACAAATAGCAAATAGAGAATACTTCTAACAACCAAGGTATTTCGAGGAACCTTAACCTCCAAATCTGCCAGAGAAAATCCTACCCAAAAGACTGACTGTCTTTTCTTCTTCCTAGTACTATTTATTACAAAATAACTACCTAAACTGCTCGGTAATTGCTAGGTAACTACCAGAAATACATACACATAATAATTAATAAATAAAACAGATACATTTAGGCCTTATTTTCACCCTTCTTCCTGCGGCTATAGACCCTATTAAATTAACACCTCTTGGGAGCCATTCAAGAGTGTACGACAGTCTACTACACTTTCAGGTTGCACTTGCATTTCAAGCTCTTCAGATAAGAATAGAGGGATCTGCTGAATTGGAGTAGAATCCTTTACTGCACGCTCTGATACCAAAATTGTTAGGAACCCAGACTCTCCTAACAACAAATCTGTAAACTTTCAAATGCAATACAGAAATATGAACAACACTTCAACTGTAATTTACTAACACCAACAAATAGATTAAGTCTTACAAATAGCAAATAGAGAATACTTCTAACAACCAAGGTATTTCGAGGAATCTTAACCTCCAAATCTGCCAGAGAAAATCCTACCCAAAAGACTGACTGTCTTTTCTTCTTCCTAGTACTATTTATTATAAAATAACTACCAAACTGCTCGGTAACTGCTAGGTAACTACTAGAAATACATACACATAATAATTAATAAATAAAACAGATACATTTAGGCCTTATTTTCACCCTTCTTCCCTGCAGCTATAGACCCTATTAATAGCAGATCTAACAAAATCCAGAATGAATCATGAGAGAGCATATCTCGACTTCAGGGGCTCAATAACATGGTGACCCAAAGAAAAACTTCAACGAGAGGCCTTAAACTTCTTGTTAAAACAAACAAAAACATTTTATTTGAAGTCTATTTTTCTAGATTTTGACGTGCAAAGTTATTAAAATAATTATGATCGATCTCTAGTAATTCCTTTCAATTTCTAATATATCTAATCCATTATTTAGGGATTTTGGTAAATTTTTTACCTAGGGCTCCTTTTTGAGATTGTGTCAAAGTTTCAATCCTTCTCTTTTATTTTTTGAGTTTGGAATAACTGAATTCCTGTATCCTAATTGACATATTTAAATTCTAATAAATATCTAAAAAAGACATTATAAACCTAAGAAGCAAAGATATCAAAATTAACAAATTTCAGAAGTAAAATAATAGAAAGAATAATGGAACCAGATTCAACCAAGTTGATAACTTGATTTCACTTTTCACTGCTTCAATATGCTTGACGCAATGCTTGAAAATTTGAGAAAGAAACAAAAAAAGAGTTGGCAATCTGCTTTGGGCTCTCTTATTTTTACATATTTGTTTCTGAGAGTTGGAGAATGGCCAAGGGAATATATTAAAAGATTAATGCATGCTATTTGAAGAGAACGGTAAGAAGCAATAAAACTATGTGGGCCAATTGATGATGTTGAATGTATCAACAAATGAGGCAAGAAAATATTACCTACACGTATAGTCTATGGAGGGATTCCTTAAAAGACTATTTTGTTTCCTAATTTATTGTCTATGGTTTCATCTTTCCATTTTTATTATGAAAACATGCATTATCTACTTTAAACACAATAATTCTTTTTTAAAAAAAAATTATACACTTATTAGGGAAATTTTGGGCCCCAAAATTATGGGGCCAAAAGAAGCTGCCTTAGCAGCTACACCCTTCGCCTAGCCCTATCTGACTTATAAGCACAAGTTCCTATGATTCAGCTGTTATTGATATTGGAATTGTATTGGACTGACTTCTGGTCAGATAGCCTTTCTGTTTCCAGAAGCACATTACTTGCATCTACAAAGCCAAAAGCTTTTAGCCAAGTTTGAATAAATGATGAATAATATAGGAGCAAAGTGTACTTTCACACCAAATAAGATTTCTTCAGCACAGTTAAGACCAATGAAGACTCTTTATGATGAAACAAAGATTACCACACCACTGTATAGGAGACCTACTATAAGGAAACAACACATTCTTGTATGCTTATTTTGTAGGGTGAATCCAGCTAGATCTACTGATACATTTTCATAGGATAATTTAATCCCATTTGTATTTTAGTAAAAAACTTACCTTGCCATAGTAATTGAGTTATTTGTAAGATATGTAATGCAGGTTGGAGATTTTGGACTGTCTAGGATTAAACGCAATACTCTCGTATCTGGAGGTGTAAGAGGTACTCTTCCCTGGATGGCACCTGAACTGTTAAATGGTAGCAGTAACCGAGTATCTGAGAAGGTTAGGTTGATTACTGTAATTTACTATAATCAGATATGTCATAACGCAATAACATCTGATATTAGTTGTTAAGTATGTCATTAAGCAATAAACTGGATGGTTTGGTTTCTGACAGGTTGATGTTTTTTCATTTGGCATAACAATGTGGGAGATTTTGACTGGGGAAGAACCCTATGCAAACATGCATTGTGGGGCAATCATTGGTAAGGCTCTGATTACCTGTTAGACCAAGTGAATAGTTTCTGCTTCATAACAGTAATGGGAGGTAGAGGGAATAGTATGTTGCTTAGGGAATGGATTCCACTCGATTATAAGGGTTTGCAAAGGAACTTTTGAAAATGCTCCCAAGCACTTTTCCCAATGTATTCACCTGAAGACTTCTCTGGGTCTTTAGGATCCCTTTTTCCGGTGGTAATCGACCATCGGAATCCTGCACTACTTTCTCTTTCTTCACATCTCTTTCCTCTTTCTCCTTTTCTCCATGGAGAATCATATTATTTTAGGCAAGGGGGTAAATATTACTCCCTCCGTCCCATTTTATGTGGCACCATTTGACTTGACACGGTGTTTTATGAAAAAAAAAAAAAAGAAGACTTTTGAAACTTGTGGTCTAAAACAACCCTTAGACATTTGTGTGGTTGTAAATCATTTCATTAAGGGTAAAAGAGGAATTTTAAAGTTAAATTGTTCCTAATTAAGTAAGGTGACACCCTTTTTAAGGCGGATTAAAAAACAAAGGGTGCCATCTAAGTTACTCGGACTCTCCAAAAATGTTGCCGCACCCGTGTCGGATCCTTCAAATATACACTATTTTTGGAGGATCCGACACACACCCGTCGATATTTTTGAAGAGTCCGAGCAACATAGGGTGCCACATAAAATGGGACGGAGAGAGTATGATATAACAGTCAAAGTCTCCCTCTGAGTCATATGGGACACTTTTCTGGCTCTGCAGAAGGCTAAGGGAGGCTACAAAGCTAATGAGGAAAAAACTTTAAATCATGGAAGAGCAGAGATTTCTCGACTTATACTTATTGTGCATTAAAGTACAATAAATATGGGAGATTCATATCAGTAATCAGTTATCACAGTTAATGGCCAAGCCAGAGCAGTGATTACTATACCAGAGAACAAGTTTAATGAAGGATGGGAAACACTTGTTGCCAAAATAGAACATTTTCATTCTCAGAGAACCAGGGGTACAAGGGGAAGCTGGTTCCACTGGACAAGACAAGTTTCAGTACATCAAGGAGGAAGGGAGCTTCAAGGATTCTAGAACCAAAAAGCACATGAATACATCTGTGCCTTCAGGGGAAAATGACCTCCTTGATATGTTTGGTGGGCAGTTTCCCTGAAACTGATGATATCCCTACATACAACGATGTAAGAAGATGGGCTCAGCAGATGTGGAAAGGAGTCCAGAATCTTCAGGTGTATGATATGAATGGGATCCAGTTTCTGTTTGAGTTCCAAATTAAGAAAGTTGCAGAACGTATTTTTATGGGAGATCGGATTAGACAAGGGAAGTGGCTGATGTTTGAATGGTGGTCTCCAAAATCTGGAGTTGCCCCAAAACACAAAGAATTCAATTGGTTCTGGATTTGAGTTCTTGGATTACCTCTCCATCTCTGGTCTTCTAAGGTGATGAAGGATATCGGCAACAAATGCGGCAGCTGGCTAGAGAATGAGTTGGAAACAAAGTTAAAAAACCACCTTAGAGGGGCTCACATTCGAGTCAAAGGGCCAAGGGAACAAATTCCATCGTCTGTGGAGGTTGCAGATAGAGAATGCATTTTTTCACTACCGGTCTGGTGTGAATCACTACAAGATATAGAAGTAGGGGGATGAGTGATTACGACAGTCGAGGAAACAACTATGAGCCCGAGATAGACCCTGACAACTTATGAAGAAAAGGAAAGGAGATAGAGACATGGTATGCAATGGACCAAAGATACAAAGAATGCTTTGCTGAGAATAACACTAGTTTTGTATTGTCTGGGGTGTGAAGTACTCGAGGGATGAGGTGGCAAGTGGAAGTGGGCACTTTTTCTTTTTAAAGAAAAGTTTTCCTAATAATTATAGGAGACTACATAGAAGGCAAACATGTGCTATGTATTTACGATACACATCTATAGTTTAAAAGTATTATATTACATAGCTATACTTAGGGTTTTATAGAAAATCTCTCCTCTCTCTCAAACTCTCGCTCGCCTCTCTCCTCTCTCCTCTCTCCTCCCTCGCTCGCCTCACTCCTCCCTTGATCGCCTCTCTCCCTTTATCTTCCCCTCCTCTGTCTCTCGCCTGATACAAATGGGGGATACTACTGATACAAATCACTTGAGAGATTTGTATTAGGCGATAGATGGTGTAGACCTCTCTTCTTCTTGTTCTCCTCTTTGATTTCATACTCAGACTCTCAGTATACTTGAACAAGGGAGAGATACAATATTGTATTAGTCGAATTCTGAAAGAGTACAACACATGATACAAATGTATAACAAGGACAGTTGACTACATTGATACAAATCTATAGCTAGTTGTAGATACACTCAAATACATTGATACAAAGTGAATACACAAGGAATCGATACAGGTGATACAATTGATATAATTGTATTCGTTGATACACCTGATATAAAGTGAATACGCAAGGAACATATACATTTGATACAATTATATTCGATGATACAACCTGATACAACTTGATACAATTTTATTCGTTGATACAAATCAATTGTATTTGTGATACAGCCTGATACAACGAATACAACATGTATTCATCCTCTCTCTCCCAAATCCCGCTCGCCTCTCCTCCCTCAACCATTCTCTCTCGCCTCTCTCCTCCCTCCTCCTGACATGTAGTTATGAATCGTAATTAAGTAAACTATAGCTATTTATCTCTAATTAAGCCCAAACTATAGTCATTTTTGAAGGTTCCTCATAATTATAACAGCCCGGGCCCTTTCCTGATTTTTTGAAATGGGCCCTTACAAGTTGGGCCTTTGTTTTCTTCTAAAGATACAACAACTAAGAAAAAGGTCCAGTCGCTGAATTTTTTCACAAAAGGAGTCGATCTATTTGACAAAGTCGATGACCCTCCCCCAAGTTCTCCACAGATCAAGAGCGAATTAGAAGAACTCATGCGACTGGAGCAACCTAAGGAAAATGATGATTCCAACAGACAACAATCACCCATCCGTGAAGATGGTCAGAACTGTCACATGCAAGCAAATAGTTACAGCAATGAAGGGAGGAGGTACAAAGTTTTTGCTCTAAAGTGGGGTGGAGTTTAAGGGGATTCTGAAGGAAATCAGTTGGTAATATATGGAAACCCACTTCCTCTACAAATTAATGAAGCATGTGGATATGATGAATTAGACATGACAACTCTATCGGTCCATTCCAATGTTTTCAAATTGAGCAAACATTTTGGGGCATGCTTCACAGGCTGTGAAAGGTTGGCATTGGATATGTTCATGAAGATAGATCAGAAGAGGTTCTTGTTGAATCAAATTTATAAGAGGGGAAAACCAAATGATGATGGAGGAGAGAATTCCAATGAGGCTAGAAACATGATCCTCCAGATGAACATAGAAGAAGGGGATGCAAGGATCAGGGGGAGCAACAACCTTTTATGTCATCAATGAAAGTTAAAATACTATCATGGAGTGTGAGAGGGCTAAATAGGGAGAACAAGAGAAGTCTTGTAAGAAATCTAATACAACAGTGGGGGTTGATATTCATGTTCTTGTGGAAACAAAACTCAAGGAGTTAGAGACAGATGCATTCAGACAACTTTGGAATAACAGATGGTCAGGAGAGGTGCACCTGGAGGCTATAGGAAGGAGTTGGGGTATAGTAGTGTTATGTGATAGAAGATATTGAAAGGGAGAACTGGTGGAAAGTGGAGACCAGATGATCACTTGCAAGTTTACAGGTAGCACTCAAAACGTAACTTGGTGTCTGAGTGTTGTATATGCTAATTGCGAGAGGAAGGAATTATGGCGGGAACTAGCTGCTGTTAGGAGCCTGTGTGAGGGCCCCTGGGTTGTGTGTGGTGACTTTAATGTCATTAGGTACCCCATAGAGAGGACAAAATGCTAAATAATTTCAGGAGCCATGGCTGATTTTTCAGAATGGATTGAGGACATGGAGCTTCTCAATCCTCCTCTATTTGGAGGGCCATATACATGGTGGAGGGGACACAATTATAGAACTGCCTCTAGGATTGACAGATTTTTATATTCTTTCCAATGTGAGGAGCAATTCCTCCAAATTAGAAAGAACTTACTCTCCATGGTGGGTTCAGACCACAACGCAATTATGTTAATGTGTAGGAATTTGGACTTCCAAAAATCTCTTCAAGTTTGAACAGTGGTGGATGGGAGTAGCAGGGTTTCAGAGGGAAAATTCAAAGCTGGTGGACTTCTTTTCAGGACATTGGGACTTCTGCTTACCTATTAGCCACCAAACTGAAAATGCTGAAAGAAGAACTGAAGGTATAGAAATCTCACATTCAAGATTTCTACCTCAAGCTGTACAAAGTGCCTGAAGCTTGGAGGCCTGATTTCACTATGCAGGAGGCTCCAACCATCAGCAATGAGGATCAACAGTGGCTACAAAGGGAATTTGAGGAAGAGGAAGTCCTTAACGCAGTCAAATTATGTGCAAGTGATAAGGCTCCTGGGCTAGTGGGCCTAATGGCTTTTCTTACTAGCTTTTACCAATCTTGTTGGGAGTTTCTGAAAGATGACATTGTTAGCACAATGCATCACTTCCATTCTCATCAAGTATTTGAGAAAAGCTTTAATGCTACTTATGTTGCACTCATACCTAAGAATGGAGCAGTGGAACTCAGAGATTACAGACCAATTAGGCTAATTAGTGGGGTATATAAAACTATAGCCAAAACTTTAACAGAGAGAGTGAAGAGGGTTGTTGATTCTCTAGTTAACAATCATCAAATGACTTTCATATAAGGAAGACAAATCATGGATGCACTCTCATTGCCAGTGTGTGTGGACACCAGGTTGACAGGGGATGATCCAGGTATCATGTGCAAACTAGACATATAGAAGGCATATGATCATGTCAACTGGGATTATCTACTGGCCATTTTCAGACAGATGGGGTTTGGTGAAACGTGACTGAAATGGATTTGTTTTTGTATTGAAACTATTAGGTTCTCCATATTTGTTCATGG